AAACTTTGTTGTGAAATTTGACCTGTATTATTTGTGGTATAAACAAAAATGGTACCTCACATTGTGTGGTTTGTTGTGGAAAGATATACTGTTTACAATTTTCATCTGGCCGTCAATAAAACGGGTGCAAAAAAAAATCCCATAACCGGAAATCCCATAATATATTACCAATATTTGTGGATCAAAATATTATAGAGATTTGGTGTTTTTTTTTTTTCAGGGGCCAATAAGTAACCACCTTTAACAACCATATTCTGACACCTTGCAAGTTTTTCCACAAGAAAACACCTCATATTTTCTTCATATTTAATTTAACGGTTCAGTGTTTTCATATATTTTATTTGTGCTTAATTTTTTTTGTATTTGACTTCATATTTGGATTATTTGATGTTTAGATTCACCTCAGCGTTTTTTATTTAACTTAATATTTTCATATTTATCAGCATATTATATGCACAGTTATCATTTTTACACTTAACTTATGGTTAAGCATTTTTCTAAACCTTAAATAGTAAACACTGGAATGTAGTTTTACCTGTAATATTCGTGCTATGATATCTCTAATTGTACAATCTTTTGGGCGTTTAAATGGGTGAAAAATCCCATAGAAGAAGGTATATTATTGATATTTTGACTCTGGGCTAGTAAGTAACCATTTGGAATGCCCTAGCAACACCCTAGCAACCACATACGCCTCATATTTCCTTCAGAAAATGTAAAAATCTTTTATTGGTAATGAAATTACTGATAAATCAACATCTTTAGTATTTAATTTACTCCGGAATGAAACTCTTGAAACTTCCATAGGAGATGATTATACACCTGTGTGATTGCTGTCAAAAAAAATTTGGGTCGATGATGTTATGTTTTGAGAGTTAGTGAGGAATGACACTTGAGGATGAGTTTTTTTATTTCCTGGAGGACAGACACTCAACAAGAGGGGAAAAAAATAAAACCCAGGGGGTTTTCTTACCACCACAGCCTTCAAAAGGTTAAGAGAGGATGGGAGGACAAAAAAAAAAAACCAGCAGGATAAAGTCCACACTGGCTCCATAAGATAGGGGCCAACTGGAGAAAGAGAGCAAAATGGAAATCTAATGGGCTAAATCTGTGAAATGTCGTACCAGCCCAGGGGGATTTGAGCCGCAGCAGAAACAAAGACACTGGGGAGAGAGCGAGCGAGAGTGAGTTCGAACTAGACGGGAGAGAGAATTGCCTGAAAGAGTTGAATTACAGCCAGAGGATGCATGTAACCTGGACCTCTCTCTCACTAGCTTCGCCCGAGCGCCGAGTTAACCTCCCCTTTCTGACAGCAGTGCTGGATGGAAAAGGTCAAAATCAAAGCAGCTGGTTCTCATAATTTATCAGGCCAGAGACGACCAAGCACAATAATCAAATGTAGTAAGTGTTTAATATGCTCTATTCATCAGCGGTAGCTCGTAGAATAACAAAAGAAGTCGTGTTTATATGTTCCTGGATTACATTCACACTGTTATTTCTTTGGACTTTCCCACATTGTAGCGTGTTCGTATGTAAATGATGAAATAATCCGAATAAATGATCTTGCAGATAACCTCTGGCCCCCGGTTCGGGGTGATGAAGAACATGCCGGATTTTTTTGGTCTTTTGAAATAAAGTTTCAATGTAGAACATTGATGTACTCTAACATGCAAATCTCCCACTTCAGTCCACTTGAAACATCTATAAAAATGTTACAAAAATCGCAGATTTGTGAACTACACCAGTACACAGAAGTCAGCCAATCACAGCTGAGCTCAATTGCATGTAGAGTTCTTGAAGATACAGTAGCAAAAACAGGCTGTTTAAATATAAGGGTCAAAGAGAAGGCGTAATGCTAAATTCTGATTGTTTTAGGTGCAAGAAACCGTGACTAACGTACGTGGATTCAAGGAAAGAAATATAACACTATGAAAGTGTCGAATATTGCCCCTTTAAGGTCGTCATTTAATGTGTTTTTACAGTGGGGCCCATAAAGGAGGGAGTGAACATGAGCTGACGAGACCAGAAATGAGAGGAGATTAGGTTATGCAGGTTCACAATTGTGTGTGTGTGTGTGCGTGTGTGATAGAGCAAGAATGAGTGCCTCTTTACTCTGTATTTAAGAGAGATTGTATTTTTTGTATTCTGTGCCATGACGAGATCATGACACTGTTAATGCATAAAATAAACCTCTGATCTGCAGTCTTTAGGTTTAAAGGAGTATTATATTCCATAATTCCCAAATCTGTGCTGATCTTACGTTATTTAATGATTTATATTTAACTGTTTGGGTTTGGTAAATCTCAGAGGGAAAGAAACTAGCTAAATATATATTAAATAATAAATATCTACATTATTGAACGTTCATTTTAAAGTTGTGCCAGCTCTTTTTGTGAACAATCAATGTGTGCACATAATTCCAAATTTTAAAAAATGCAGGCTATTTTAAGAGCTTTTTAGACCTTGTTTTTAGCTCCATTCTGGTGTCTAATGCCCATTTTTCACAATCCAGTTAATTCCCAGTGGATAACATCAACACCGGCCTATGTTTTTTCTTGTTGAATATCCTGTTTCACTTTGAAATGTCACGTTACAGAAGTAAAATGGGTTGTAAATGGGGTTTTACATTGACGTTAGAGAGCCATCATGTAATTGGAGTGAATAATTATGTTTCAATAATAATTTGAAACCGTATTTTCACAGCGCTCTTCACTTTTTTTTTTATAGCCACAACGAAACCAACGCAGCATCATCCATGAGATGCCAGAGTCACACGCTTAAAAGTGCGCACAAAGCTTAAGCTCATCTGAATCATTAAACCAAATCGCCTCTAATTATTAAGCTTGGCTGTTGAATTAATTTCAGCTGTGCTTGACTCCTCTCAGTTTGCAGTCACATGGTCAGAAATGTCAATGGGAGAACCGTTCAAGAGGAGAATACAGTGGGTGACAAATAATGCAAGTGCTTTTATCAGATTAAGGGCTCAGTATGTGGGCTAACAAGTTTCACTTGCTTAAATATTATGAGTTGGTTGAATTTTTGCCTGTTTCAGATTTGGCTACAAGCATCAATTGTGAACACACTGAGTTTGGTAAAGATAGTGGAGCAAAAATGACTACTATAGAGAGTAGTAGCCTTAGTACACATGCTACAACAGATTATCATGTGTGAATATTTTGAGTTAGGAACATAAACAAAAATGGCTACAGTACGAAGTAGTAGCCTAGCAGTTAGCACACATGCTGCACATTATTGTATGTGTGAACGCTTTGAGTTTAGTTAAGATTGCGGTTCAAAATCAAACAAAAATGCTCTGAGTTTAAGATAGTAGTGCAAATCCTTTGTTGAAGCTATAGTCTAGTGGTTAGCACACAAGCTACATGAAGTATGTGTGAACACTTTGAGTTTGTTTAAAATAGTAGTACAAATTCAAACAAAGACATTTGTTGAAGATGTAGCCTAGTGGTTAGCACACACCATGCTAGCTAGTGTGTGAGAGTTTGGTTAAGATACAAAATCAAAACAAAAAGGTGAAGCCTAGCAGTTAGTATACATGAGTCATTAATGCTTAGTATGTAGTGGCAAAACATCTAATGAAAGAAAATAATAAAATAAAATAAATGGTTATCATGGGCCATTAATGCTAAGAATGTAGTGGCAAAACATCTAATGAAAGAAAATAATAAAATAAAATTAATGGTTGTCAATTGAGAAAGATACTTTTTATGTAATTATGGCTAGCTGCAATGGTTGGACCATGATAACCAGCCACATTTTAAAGGGATAGTCCACTCAAAATCAAAACTTCTGTCACCATTTACTTACCTCAAGCTGTTCTAAACCTGGATGAGTTTATTTCTTCTGTGGAACATCATTTGTAATATTTTGAAGAATGTTGCTAACCAAACAGTTGATGACTTCCATAGAATGGATGAAAATACTATGGAAGTCAGTGGGGACCATAAAATGTTTGTTAACCCACATTCTTCAAAATACCCTCTTTTTTGTTCCACAGAAGAAAGAAGTTCATGCATGTTTGGAACAGCTTGAGGGTGAGTAAATGAGGACAGAATTGTAATTTTTGAGTGAACTATCCCTTTTCCCTAATTCCTCAGCCTTGATTATGGATTTGGATCACAATGTTTTCCAAAACTTGTTTCCCAATCACTTTTAGCCCTTTGTCTTCATTCTCATTATAATAAAAGTTCATTTAACCCAAAAAGTTGGCGTGAGTGTTGGAAATGGGCCATCTTTTGTTGTTTTTCCTGACAGAATGTTTGAAAGCTGTATTTGAGTGACCAAACTACACTTATTTGAGTTGCATGTTAAATGGGGACATACAGTACTGTTAACCTTTATTGAAAGCAGTTGTGTTTACACACCTAAGCCATGCCATTTGCTAGGCTGAGCTGCGCGCTAGCAGAATTGAGAATATTATTTCAGATTAGTGTGAATTAAAAGGAGTCTGAGGCCTATATTAGTGTAATCCTTCTGTTTTAACCTGGGCTTGTCCATGTGGCTGAGCTGTGAACCCACTGCTGGGCTACACAGCTCACAGTCCATCGGATTACTGTGAAATCGAGAGGGGTTAATGGCCCTGCGTGCGTGTGGTAGTGTGTATGTGTGTGTGTGTGTGCCAGTGTGCATATTGGTGAGTGTGCAAGTGTTCACATGCATGACGGGGTTATAGAAGTCCAACTGAAATGGCTGATCTCTACACAACAACACACGCATACCCAGATGCTTTCATGATGAATGCTCTCATGAACGCATCTAGCTGCTCGTAATTGCATATGCACACATCCAAGCGGCCCAGAAGTGAGGCAAGATGCTGATTACCCGTTTTATGTTGATGGGAGGTCTTCTGTTCCACCTGGTCTGTTCTTACGTGACCCATTTTTTTGCATTGCATTATGTTGCATCATTGTGTTTTACTGCAACAAACCTGCACTACCATTTCCCTCCTGTCTGCATAAGTAATGTGTGCCTTTATTTTTCAGGGCCAATGAGATTGAAGCGGTGATGACAGATTTGGAAAGAGCCAATCAGGTAAAAGCCATATTCCTCATGGAAAAGTGACTCATATTTCTATTGTATGCAAATATAAGTCACAATAACAGCTTGTTTAGGTCTTTTATTAATATCTCTATTCTAATGGACTATACAGAAATTTCAGTGCTAGATTGCAAATTTCTTTTATTAGCACTCAACTTTATTGGAGTCACATATATCCAAGTTCCAGATATCCTAATTCCCTCCATCTGCTTTCCTTTTGGAATAAATCCATCATTCCCTTGCACTTTTTCGAGCTCTGAGCCCCAACGGCTAAATCTAAATGGATATCAGATCTTTTATGTGATGCAATAAAAAGATTCTCTTGCCTTTTTATGGGTTTTGTGCATTTCGGGAGATTTATTTGTTTATTTTTTAATTTTTCTGACCTTACATGTTTGGGAAAGCTGATCTGTAGGAATATATATATATATATATATATATATATATATATATATATATATATATATATATATATATATTTTTATTAT